ACACACACGCACACACAGAGAGACAGAGACACACACACACACAGAGAGAGAGAGAGACAGAGAGAAACACACACACACAGAGAGAGAGAGAGACACACAGACACACACACAGAGAGACAGAGAGACACAAACACACACACACAGAGAGAGAGAGACACACACACACACACACACACACAGAGAGAGAGAGAGACACACACACACACACACACAGAGAGAGAGCATGTTTTATATAGATATCAACCCATGCTTTGTCTGATCAATACAGTTTGTATGTATATATAATGCATTATAATGGTGTTCATAATACCTTATGATGCACATTATAAACTGCTTTGTCATAAATGTAGTCAGACTTGCTTGCACCTTTAATGAGTAAAATGCATTATAAAACTATTCAGCATGTTTTAACAGTATACATTAAACCTACAATACAATCACCAAACAATAGGCAAGCTTAACTGTGCATGGTTAAAATAATTTATTAAAATGAAGTGTACATTACATAAATATCTTCACAGAGCATCAGATATACTGCCTTTACACTAAGTGTTAAAGGAGTAGTTCACTTCCAGAATGATGTCATCATTTACTCGCCCTCCACTTGTTCCAAACCTGCATGAGTTTCTTTCTTCTGCTGAACATAAAGAAGATATTCTGAAAAATGTTGGTGTCCGAACAGTTGATGAGCACCATTGACTTCCATAGTAGGAACAAATAATACTATGGAAGTCAATGGTGCCCCAACATTTTTCAGAATATCTTCATCTGTGTTCAGCAGAAGAAAGAAACTCATGCAGGTTTGGAACAAGTGGAGGATGAGTAAATGATGACATCATTCTGGAAGTGAACTACTCCTTTAACAAAACTCATTGTTAACACTTGCATTTCATTGTGAAATATAATCCCTTGTAAATTATCATATGCTATAAAAAGTGAAAGTGCAGCTGTTATCTTAAAAACTTATTTTTACTGTGTAATCCAATGTAGTCAGATCGATATTGTTATTATTATTTTATTCCAATAAAACCAATTAAATATTCAGACACATTTTTGTCACATTCAAGCATTTTCCATCATCTGCAGTTCTTGTAGTCTAAAATCATAATAAATATGAAATCTCCAAACCTTTTTTTCAAGGCAGTTTATAACCAAATTTAAACCGTTTTACTATATACTATGATATTAGCTACATACTAAGATATTTTGTGTTCAGTGTAGTCAATGAGAGTTCAGACTGATATAGAGCTGCATCTGTTCATGGACCAGTCGCTTACAAGGAGAGTGGGGCAATTTTAATAATTAGCATCGTTTTAAAATATATTCCTCACACAATGCTATTTAAATAGCTAAAGATCTTCACTACACTAAACAGATATACAGGTATATAAAAAAAACCTTACTCAAGCACATGAAATGTTACTGGGAAACTTTTACTTGGACACATTTATTGATAAAATAGAATAGTTAGATCTCGGAAAATATAATTGAAAATATATTCTATAAAGTAGATAATAGGATAAATGTTTTATTTTATATATATATATATATTTTTTTTTTTTTTTTCTTGGTCTTCCTCATCTGGAGTATCTGTAAGTGTCTCACTGCAAGAGGAAACGGTTGATCTGATGATTCTCATTTGTAACGACTGGAATGGTTTGCATTGTGCATCGAGTTGACTTTGCTGCTTGTTTTTCTTCCAGGTTCATTGAAAATAACCAAATCAAGTCCATATCGCCGTTCGCCTTCAGAGGACTCAAGTCCTTGATACATTTGTGAGTATTTCTGCATAATACCGTTGGCATGTTGTTGATCAGCTCTCTGTTCATCCACGTTATCTGTTGTTTGCAAGTGAAACATTGCAGTCATAAAAGGAAAATTATTCATGTTATTTCACTAATAAAAGAAGCAGTCAGCAATCCAGGTTGTATTCTTCATGAATCTTTTGCACACCATAAAAATTGGTCTGATGAAAACATAATTTTTTTTTTTTACGAATGTTATTGCAGAAGTCTGGCGTACAATAATTTGGAGACACTACTGAAAGATCTTTTCAGAGGGATGGAAGCTTTGACTAAAGTGTATGTATGCAAGTGAATGATGATTTAGCAATGCAACATCATTTGAATAACTGTCAGTGATTTAAGAGCTTGATGGTCTCTAGACGGGATCTCTTTGCGTTTGTCCAGGGATCTGAGAGGTAATCTTTTCAGCTGTGACTGTAAGCTAAAGTGGTTAGTCGACTGGATGTTTCATACAAATGCAACTGTGGATCAGATCTTCTGCAATGGCCCTCAAGCTTACCAGGGCAAGAAGATCAATGACCTTGACTTTGAATGAAAGTAATGCTTAACATGTGTCTGTTTGTTCTACAGATTTGTCGTTGTTGAAGTCTCTTGAGTTTCAGTCCATTTCAGTCGAGCCTTTTGCGTTTGGAGGTGACCAGTTTGTCGTGTTCGGCCAGCCTTTCGTTGGCAGGTGCAGTTTCATGGAATGGGATCACGTGCAAATGGAGTTCAGGAACTTTGATAATATCACAAGTAAGCAAACAGCAGTGGAAATGTTGTGAACATGTCTAAATCTACATATGATAATGCACACAATACTGTTTCCAGACAGTTTCACCTGTTTCAGTTGTTTCAGTTTCATTTCTGTCAAACAATTAATCGTGATTAATCGCATCCAAAATAAAAGTTTTTGTTTACATAATATGTGAGCCTGGACCAAAACCAGTCATAAGTGTCAATTTTTCGAAATTGAGATTTATGCATCATCTGAAAGCTGAATAAATAATATTTCCATTGATGTATGGTTTGTTAGGATAGGACAATATTTGGCCGAGATACAACTATTTGAAAATCTGGAATCTGAGGGTGCAAAAAGATCTAAATATTGAGAAAATCATCTTTAAAGTTGTTCAAATTAAGTTCTTAGCAATGCATATTACTAATCAAAAATTAAGTTTTGATATATTTACAGTAGGACATTTACTAAATATCTTCATGGAACATGATCTTTACTTAATATCCTAATGATTTTTGGCATAAAAGAAAAATGTATAATTTTAACCCATACAATGTATTGTTGGCTATTGCTACAAATATACCCCAGCGACTTAACACTGCTTTTGTGCTCCAGGGACACATTTGTGTGTGTACTGTGTATATTTATCATGTATATTTAAATATACACACACACTGTATATATTTAAGAAAAATATGTTATGTTTGTATATTAAATATATTTATATATAGTATAAATTACATGAATATAAATATATACATTTTACAGTTTATTGGCTCTAGTTTTAAGAATATATGATATTTTATGTATATATGAACACCTGGTCCTTGACTTGAGTAGCTGATTTGCTTCTCTGGGACAGTTGAGGACACTGATAAAAGAGAGTCTCAGTGGATCTCACGAAGAGCACGTCCAGGTCATATTTAATTCTGAAATCCAAAAAAAAGAGACTTTGACTTTTTAAAAGTAAATGAAGCCTGTTTTAGGAATCAATTCTCTATACTGTATTTTTTTTTATCGTACAGTAATAATTGCTTAGTCTTCAGAAGAAATATTGTCACCAGGCATAAAACTCGTAACGAAAATAAATGTGACCCTGGAGCGCAAAACCAGTCATACATAAAATATCATATATTCTTAAAACTAGAGCCAATAAACTGTAAAATGTATATATTTATATTCATGTAATTTATACTATATATAAATATATTTAATATACAAACATAACATATTTTTCTTAAATATATACACAATTAGGCTTCATTTTCTTTATGCAAAACACCATTTCTTCTTTTTTCTCCTTTCAATTTTGGAGTGAAATATGACTAGGAGGTTTATGTCAGATTCACCCGCCTCTTCTCAGCATGAACTCTTTGCAGATGACTTGCATGATGGTGCCGTTAATTAGGTACCGCAACTGAAATTATCCAAGGTTTTCTTTTACATGATCTTCTCATGCACTCATTCATTTCTGTTGTGTTTTTACTTTGTGACTGCTGTGCTTTCATTGAAATACGTGCTATTCTATTTATTCATGTTTATCTCAAATGAATGTGACAACTTGTTTGTGACAACTGCTTTCTCAGCTTGTAAACAATGTATTTTTATGTGGCAGCTGGGTGACATGGGTGGAAATTTGAAATACACGTTGACAGTTTGAGTAGTGTAGCGATTGCCTGTTTGTTTGAACCGTATTAACTACTAACAGTATAACCAATGTCAGTACCGTTTTCAACAAGATGAAAATATTTGTAAAGAGATGAGATTCTCTATCACCACTTGATGAAACTGTGATGTTGTTCTACTGGATACGTTTATGCATGCAGTTTCATGCCTACATTTTGGAGACACTGATACTAAGTTTAAATAAATACTTTCCAGAATCTTAAACGTTTTATATTGTCAAATTGCAAGAGGTAATTAAATTGCAAAAAGCTAATCAATGTCTTCAGGATTATTAGAAACTCCAGGAAGGTGTGTTGGGCCCCATGCTGGTTTTTAGATAAACAGGAAGTGATTATAACATTATATTAATTATATGAAGAAAAAATACATTTTAGATGATAATAGATGTATTTCCCTTTATTTTGAACTGTTTTTGTTCGGTGTACAAATAATGATGGTCAACCATTGAAAATCAATTTTTATTAAAGACCAAAAAGTTCCATAACAGGATATTAATGTATTTTTTCATCCTTGTTAAAAGCTAACAAGATATCTGTGTTTCAGCTAGAGAGTAATGTCAGGCTGAAGCCTATTTATTTGAAAGCAGATGAATTATGAGAAATTGCAAAACCAGGATCAGGTTATTTTCATGTCATCAGTGCACAACATAGGTTAGCAATGCAACTAAACCAACATACGATACCCATACACAAACTTTTTGACAAACTTTTAACATGCCGGAGGTCACCACTTTCACTTTCTATGTTTACTGACAAAATACACATCAGCTGAAAGATCTCAAATTTGTGCTTGACCACTGTTCTCCATCTATTAGTGACCAAAATTTGCAGGTTAGGGTTAGAAAGAAAGGACTCTACAAATTGTGCCCCTTCAAAAAAATTATAATTTAGGTAGATGACTCAACATTCCTGTGCCAAAACACTACTGTCTGCTGACAACAGTTAAGCAATAGTCAGCGAGAAAGCTGTTATACAGTAGAGTCGTTCAGTCACGTACACCTTCACATCAATGAATTCAATCAATGAAAGTGCAAACAATTGCAGGAACATTTAATAAAGACATGGCACTGAGTAAATGCTTGTTCTTAAATTAGCAAGGCTCCAGACTTAAAAATGACAACGGAGAATTAGAATTTATTTAGGAATCAACTGCAGTCACTTTTTTTGTTGTTGTCAAGATCATTATTACAAATTTATGCATAACCATTTATACACTCCATTTAAGAGCTGCCCTACAACTTGCAATTAAATGTAATCTCTTTTCACTTTTGACGTTATTTCACTCTGAACAGACCAAACACACCATTATTACTGACATGCCTCTGATAAAAAAAAAAGGCTGTCAGTCAGGCAAGGTTTGAAATTGCAAAATTAAGCATTTGTAGCATAATGTTGATTACAATCAAACTAAAGAATTTTAATGCAAAAAAAAGAGAGAGAGAAAGATTACAATGGAATTAAAAGGTGCCAAAAATGTGAACTTCCTGTGATGTGGCTTGATGAGTTTTCGTCAATGTGCTGACAAATTTCTGAATAAAAAAGACTCCTAATTTATACTTGATATGAAACTGTTACAGAACATAACTGGTCATTTTTAGTAATGGTTATAGTTTAGTAATGGAAATGTGTGTCATTTATATTGAAGCATGGCACCAGTCGTGTTATTCCGTTTATGACGCCAAGGCTGTCTAACCGTTTGAGATGTTTGTTCTCAAACCTATCGTGTCCCCAGTTTTTTAACTGACAAACTCTGAAAGCAAGCAGAACTCGTACTTGCAAATGTGAATAAACTCACGATAAGATGATGCTTTTGGTAACCGTGCTGTACTTGAGTGTGACTAACAATCACCCATCCTTCATATACAGTAGAAATTCATTCAAAAGCATCCATTCTATTCTGTTCATGAATACTTTTCAGTGGTTGATCACACTCAAAATCCTCTCTACACCATCTCCTCTGCGACTCGGCCTCAGATGATGATGAAATACGACAAAACCAATAAAGTTTTTAGATTTTAAATGATCAATATAAAATGTTATTTTTTTGTCACATTGGCAACCATTTTAGTGGCATAATATGAATAAGATTCAGGTTATTTTTTTTATGACTGCAAGTCAAAGACACATTAGAACAGTCAGCAGTTCATAACATCTCACCGTCGCTGCGTGTAGCTTTAATGCAAGCAGTCTGGGTGTGTATAAATGTGTGAAGCTGCAGTAGTGTTAGAAGGGGTAGGGTCCCACGATGATGGTGAGCCGTAGTAAAGAGCTTGAGCGATAGTTCATCACTGTGTGTTGAGTGATCATCTCCAGATCAACGATCAGCTCCTGAGGGCCCTCCAGGGACTTGGTCAAGACCAGCATTGCACCAATGCTGCTGAACCGCTAATGCAATTAACGACAAATACATGGAAATCTGACATACGGCAAAACAGAGAAATATTCCCAAAATATCATCGAATTTCCTCAATGATGGTGATGAGAAATAAATGTAGTTTTAATCAAAATCTACATTATTTGTGTGCAGACTGACAAAATTAACAAGCAGACATGAGGTAGTGGTAGAGCACTCTTCAATCCACAGCCTCGAAAGAGGCAACCTCGTTTTTTAACCTAGTTATAAGCATTGTATTTGGCAGAACAGTCTTCCTAATTCTGTTGTGAGCCAATTGTTGTTGTTAAAGACCCTGCATGTATATAGTATTTGTTAAATTCAGGCATCTCCATATCTCACATGAAATTGTGTGGTACATATTTACAACATACCAACATACAGTAGCTCCAAATACCAAATACATTGGGTAGCTCCCCCTCCTGCTGCCAAAACAGCTCTTAAGACCTCTGAATGTGTCCTGTAGTAGCTGGCATCAAGCCATTAGTAGAAGATCCTTTAAGTCCTGCTTGTGAGGTGGGGCATCCATGGATTGGATTTGTTGGTCCAGCACATCCCATAGATGCTCAATCGGATTGAGATCTGGGGAATTTGGAGGCCAAAGCAACACCTTGAACTCTTTGCCATGATCCTCAAACCATTCCTGAACTGTTTTTGCAGTGTGTCAGGGTGCATTATCCTGCTGAAAGTGGCCATTGTTATCAGGTTTCCCCAATACAACATTGTCCAGAGAATGACTCTGTCTCCGTCGGTATGCTTTTTTCCCATAGTGCATCTGCTGCCATCTCTTTCCCAGGTAAATGACTCACACATACCCACCTGAACTAAAAGACCAGGCAATCTTCTTCCACTGCTCCATGCTCATGTACCCACTGTAGATGCTTGCATGGCTGACAGGGTTTGTCATGGGCACTCTGACCGGTTTACACAGATTCATACGCAGCAAACTGTGATGCACTGCATGCTTTGACATCATTCTATCATGGGCAGCATTGTTGTTGTTTTTTGCATTTTTATACTACATTATCTCTTCTGTGTGATCGGACCGGTCTGCCTAGTATTTGTTCCCTACATGCATCAATGAGCCCATGACCCTGATGCTGGTTCACTGACAGTCCTTCCTTGTATCACAGTTGGTAGGTACTCTACTAACCACTGCATACCAGGAATACCCCACCAGACTTGATGTGTTGGAGCTGCGCTGACCCAGTCGTCAATTCAAAGTCACTCAGATCTCTTCACTTGCCCATTTTTCCTGCTTTCAACTCATGTAATTCAGGAACTAACTGTATATGTGCTGCCTAATATATGAAACGCCTTAACCATGTAATGATACAATCAATGTTATTCACTTCACCTATTAATGTTGTGGCTGATCAGCGTACAGTAGCTAGGACAGGTCTGGCAACAATTCACCTTAAATCAATCTTTAAATATGGCTATAGATCAGGGCCGGGCAACAAAAACAGTTTGCACTGACTGGATGAGTGTAAGCCAGCAGATCGTTATTTTATGTGCTTTGTAAAATGTGCACTTCATTGGGTATTCATAAGATTAATTTATCCTCACTCAATGTACCTACAGGTACAGTAATGAAAAAATCCCAAAGAAATCAGTGGACAAAGTTCTGAAAGTTCTGTAAGTACTTGTCAATTCATTATTTATTACTCATTTAATTATTACTCAATTACAACAATTTGAATGATGTATCATTGTCTTGTTTTGTATGTAAAATTTCAGACTCCCTTATATTACCACAATGCCTATTAAATCGGTGTAAAGTTGATGGTGGAAAGAGTGATTCTGGACTTTATCTCCAGAAGAGCATGTGCTGAGCACGTGTTGCACATACAGTTCTCACAAGTAGCCCACACCAGAGGTTACTCAAAACTAGACCAAAGTTCTGTACAGAGAATAACACTGCAGAAACATTACTGAAACAACTACTGTAAATCAGAGCACCCAATTTCAATGACACACCATTTCACAGTCTTGAGGCTGCAACAGCAAAGTCACAGTCATACCTTCATTTCAGATGAGAGCAAAGAAAGACAGAGCTGATCTGATCCCCATCAGGGTGAAGCGGAGGCTACTTATCTACTACACTGTGGGCTACTTGTCTTATCATTTAATCCATTACAGTACACAAAACAGTCGTCCTGGCAAAAAGATGAACACAGCAACAATATTACAGTACTATTAATACTGAACTCCAATTTCATTTCCAATACTATAACAAAAATGCAAGATTGCAGCATCTGTTTGTATGAAACCAGAGAGAACAAATCCGTGATACCTGGATGAATGGTATGTTATTCAGCGTTGCTTGTTACCGGGAATAACACACCTCAGAATGTCGCAACTGACAAGTCAGCATCAAGTATAAAAGCACCTTATATTGGATTCAATACTTTATCAGCAACCAGTGTAATGATGCAGGTGAGATGTGGTCTCTTTTTGTTATTTGTTAAAAGGGGTGAGACCAAAATATGACCAAAATCCTATATCATAATATGAGTACATTTATTTCACTAAAAGTACTATAAAAGTAGTATTATGCTTTTAATTCCAAATATATAAAGATGAAGCCTGGCACGGTACAATTAAACACTATCTAAACAGACTTTCTCCCGTCCTCCTCCCACTGGTTCCCCGTCTTCCTCCAAAATAGCTCCCCATCCAGGCATCACACTATTCACTTACATAGGCACTGTCTGTCCAGAATTAAAGCACTGACAGTATTTAAAAGTGACAGTGACAGTGACACTGTTATTAAAGTTTATTTAAATCACAGCACTGGCAAAAAAAAAAAAAATCTAATAAACTGAAATAAGATGCAATGCAGTAAAAAAAATAAATAAATAAATAATAATAATAATAATTATATTTCCCCACAATGATAAATGTGCTGTCAAATATCCTGCTCTGCACTTGGGAAAGAAAGAGCTTGGGGAAACAATCAGTGCTGAGCTCATTTCTTGCCTAATGTTTTCCTATTTTATCCAGATATTCCAAAGCAACTGACACAGAGAAATTTTTACATTCAGCATGATCGAGACATTTATATTTGATGATGTGATACTGGGGAAAGCAAAACTGAATTACCTGCATGTGTGCAATGTGCTACACAAATCAGGCCTTACCTTGCCTAACAAGAAACTGTGTTAAAACTGAATGTGAGAATAGATAAAGAATGAATGCACAGTGTGACCAGAAATATCTAATTTGTCAACAAAAGACTTGCATTGACTGACATTTACCACCGTCACTACGGCATGAAGCTACTAATGCAGCTGGCTTACAGCACCACTCAGTGGTCAAACCACAATAGTCTGATGCTTTCTTTGTACTTCAAAACCATTAAAAAAAATGTTGACCATTGCCAAAAACATGATTTGTCAAAGAGATATCAAATGAAATGGCTTTAACAGTTTGAGAAATACAAAAATGAAAGGTTTGGTTACCCACCCTAAGGAAGAACTCTCCTCCATCATTGCCAGCTTTAATCCTGAAGGTGTAGTGTGCACTGGGGAAGATGTTTGTGGCTTGAATCTGGAAGATATCTGCTGGTACGGTGCGCTCTGAATGAATGCTCATGTATTTGTAAACAATAGACTGCGACAGGCCTCGACACGCACCCGCAGACTGGCACGAACACCGGCTAGGAATGAAAGCAAGAATATTACTCTTCTATTTTTTTTCCATCCTTGAAGTCCCCATGAAATCAAAATGAAAGTTTTTTTTTAGTATCAATATGTTAGTCTTAAGGTTATCTATAAGGCAGTGTGCTCCAAAACAGTGACAAAATTCGCA